TTTTTTTTTTTTTTTTTTTTTTTAAGTAAAGGCTGAGTGAAGCACAAAGATCAGCTTGCCACCTGTAGAAAGCAAAAGGTGTAGTTGCAGACATGGCTCACATCCAGCTCTGCAGTGCCTTGATCACAGGATTCTTTAGTTTTCACTATTACTGAGATTGTCTGAGCACTTAACTGACGTTTTATTTTAACTGTATCAGCCAAGTAATGTTACTATCACTATTCAGCCACGTAATGTTATTAATATGTATTACTACAACACTGTTTCATACTGGTCAAGCTTGAAGTGCTTTCCTTGGAAAATTGCTTTTCAGAAGTCTTCTCTCATTCCCACCTGTCTCACAGCATTTAGTTTTTGAAGTATTATAAAGGGCTGTGGCTATGGTTTTATATGCCTAGTAATCCTTGCCTAAATTAAGCCTTTGGCACTTCTAATCAGGGGCAATGAGGGGATTTAGGCTTTCAGGTTTTTAGGATGCAGGTTCAACACAGCCAGCCATGGATAGGATTTAAACTTCTCATCTACGTCTACACTGCAGGCTTCTTGTGCAAGAATGGCTGGTCTTGCGCAAAACTCGCAGAGCATCTACACTGCACGTGCGTTCTTAGGCAAGTAAATTTACAGTATGGTGTTGGAACAGAGAGCTTCTTGCACAAGTTATTCCTCTCCCCCTGAGGAGTAAGCCCTCTTGCGTAAGAGTGTCCACACTGCCAAGGGTGCTCTTATGCAAGAACTTTTGCGCAAGATATCTTCCACAAAAAGCTTCTTGTGCAAGAAACCCAGTGTAGATGTAGCCCAGTGGCTCCTAATGCTAGTTTCCAGCTCTAGCCCTTTCCTTTGACAATTGCTGTTCTTTCCTTAAAAAAGCAGTGAAAGCTGAGTAGCTAGTCTGCATAAATGAAAAAGACTAACATTACTTAGATGCATGATTTGAAAACAAAAGGACCTCAATTACAACTGTTGAATCTGGGTTAGATGGAAAAGCAAGCAGACCTTTAGGGAGTTAAATCCAGCATGCTATACTGCATGTGTTGTATAGTCTGAGTGCTGAGGGGCTAGAGCATCTCACTCCACTGCATAGTAAGAGAGAAGCAGATGGTAAGACCAGAGCATGAAGCCTGCCCTGGATGAACCCCCCAGGCAGAAGAAGTGTGGGCCTGATGGACTACTAACTCCAGTTCTGGAGGTAAGGTCAGAAAACAACTTGAGCTGGGACTTAAAACTTAGGCCCAAGCCAGCCTGTACCCACCTTGTAGTTTGGGTGGGAACCAATCCTCTTTACCCACAGAATTGTAAGCTTTCCTACTTTTAGGCTGCAAAAGATGATTTTTGCAAACCCCATCTGAACAATATTCACATGGATTGTGTATGAGTGCAGCTTTCTCCACTCTAAACTCAGCACGTTTTGTCATGGGACTTTAGTGCAAGCAGGATCAGACCATGTGCCTTTTGTACATTATCCTAGAGAAATCTTTGCTGGTACTAAAAGAATGTGTGCACAACTCAGTGCATATCCCCCTCCCCCCATATCATTTCTAAGCCAGTTCCCCCAGGTTCAAGGACTCTGTTCCTTATGTCATCAACTACATTACCTCCTTGAGATCAGCCTACAGCTTAAGCAGGATTCAAGTCCTTAGACTTAAACCTCTCCATCAAACCTAAGTAAGTGGCTAGATAATGGGTCAAGAGTTATATTCTGTTTAATAGTCTATGGTTTTGAGTTGAGATTTCAAAGTCTCGTTCTTCAAAATAGGACAGGTTCTATTAGCTCCATATTCTTTCACTGTGCAGGAAGATCAAGCCAACACTGTACACAGCTGTCCACTAGATAAGAAATGTTTTCCAACTAATTTAAAATCATAAATTATATTGTGATTATGCTAATAGTAACTTGCCTTTGAGTTTTTCAGCAGATTTGTTTTAAATACGTTAAGACTACTGTAAAGATGTGAATTTACAGCAAATATCAATGATTAAAAAGTGACTGACCAAACACTTCTTCCATAATGTTGGTAGAGATGAGCAAGGCAGTACTATTTACTACAGCCTCTGCAATGTTAAGTTACAAGGGAGAGGTGTGTACCTACACAGTACTGGTTCAGTTTGTTAGTACACTAGAAAAGGGAGTAGGGATAGGATTAATAGAAAATAGTAGTGAAAATAGTTTTAAAACAAACTTTTGATTGGTTTTAATGTTCTAGTGCTTCTTGTAATAGGTTTTCAGTAGCAGTAGCCTTAGTACACCGTTAGTCATGAAAACAGTGACCACCTTAAACAATTTCCAAAAACTTGTTATGCAACAATCGGAAACACCAGCTCGAAGTAGTATGTAGCCTTTATCTGAACTGACAAATGTGCAGTCTAACTTCTTTAGAAGTAACGCACATCAACTGCAACCCAACTCCCAAAATTTAAACAAATACTCCAGCATTGAATAACTTAAGTGGAAGAAGATATAGGTTCTATTTAAGAACCTAGTAAATTCTCATTGTCTAACAGACACATGCAACCATGTTAAATTTGTATCTCAGTCTGACTTTTTTAAAATGTCTGAGTCTTATATAGTGCATGGAAACTTTATATATTTCATATTGTTCTGAAAAAGTAATTTTCTAATTAAGGTATAAAACCTTTACACCAGCTTGAATGTATTAGTTATTACAAAGCACATGTGACTAAGTTTGCATTGTCAGTATTCCACTGTTTATACTGGAAGTTTTTCATTTTAAAATGTCATTTAACATTGTACTATACATTGTAATTTGAGACTTCACTTAAATGGATTCACATTAAATGTGTTTTTAGTTCCTTAGCTGCTGTCAAATAGCTATTTTGTGTTTGATATATAATTGTAAAAACGGCATTTATTTATACAGAGACATTTATAATACTTTTTATTTTACAAATGTTCTTATATTCTGAATAAATATTTCTAATGCTACTGTGTCACTTGTTAACCTGACATCGTTGTCATAGTCTAAGTTAATTTAGTCTTATCAGCTTTTCTGACAATCATGAAAAAAAAAAAAACTTTGAGTAGAAAACAAAACTCCACTAGAGAATATCACCTTTTTATATTCCACCTACTTTGGAATTTTTTAAAAATAACTTGGACAACCCAGGATGAAGCCTGCAAAGTTCTCAGAACTCCTTGTACAACAACTCTACAAATTTATTTATAAATTAGGCTCTTCATTATACATTAAAGGAAAACAATTTAAATGGAAGAGCACGTACAGTTGCACACATTTGATTCTTTTAATGACACATTTTGTGAATACTTTGAGAGGATTTATTGTCAGTGCTTTTAATGTACCACACTGTCAGAAGAACACCCATATATCCTGCTCACATAAATAATTCAGAATCCAGCTCAGTTTGTTTCCTTTACCAATACTTGCAAGAATGTAATGCTCCCATAAGTGGCACTTGAAGAAACAGTGCTACTAATATGCATTTAAGGCAACCTAAGTCAAAATGTTCTACAGTATAAGAAAGTAAGATACCCTGGGCAGCAGAGATGTGAAATTTCAAACCAACCACAGTTATGTTTGTGCTCATTACAATATGAATTTTATCCAGAAGGTCAAATCCTTTAGAGCACTTTTTACTGCTAAAATTACAAAAACATTTAGTCATGGGCTGTTTCTAACCAACAATGTTTCACTTTCTAGATCAGTAATTACACTCAAAAATGCTTCAAACACACACGTAGCCTGTTAGTGCAGTTACAGATCTTACCTATATTTGGAAGTTGAATGGCACACTTCAGGATTAGCTCAGAGAAACTGAACAAAAGAGTCATTTTGCATACTACTACAAAAACTTTAAGCTAGTATGAGCATTTACACCTATCAAAGATGGAGCACATGCTTAAAAGTACCACTCATTCCTGGCCTACTCAATAGAATACTTCCACATCCCAGAACAAATTCTTGTCTTGCAGAAATTTAAGCAATGATAATCAGGAAAAAAACTGTACAGTATGGAATCATTTCCTTTGGATATTGTATGTCACTGTTAAGACTGAGAAATATACTTGTTCTCTAAAAACAAAGTAACTGTTCAAATTTATTAGCATATAAGTTCACCTAAAATAGTTCTCTATGTAACAGGAAAGTTCCCAACTGGCAAGAATAAAAAGATTATCCAAATGTCCTCATGAGAGTTTACCAGATTCATATTCTTACCACACTCAGAATTAAGTTTTTAATTATAGCATTTTATTTACACAGTCTCTTTGAAAAGAGTGGAGCATCTCTCAATGTGGCACTTCCAACATTTAGAATGTGATTTCTATATCTTATTAAAAAGGTGTGTAACAAACTTCATAGTAGTATGAGAAACTAGCACATTTAAACACTGGTGAAACTAACTTTTAAACAGTGATATGCTGGCTTTGTTTAAAAGTAAGTTTTATATTTAATAGCCAAATTTACCATGAAATTATAAGTTATTTCTACACATTTTCCTGAATTACAAAATAGTATGGTTTTTTCCCCCTATCCATTCAGAAATCATATAATACCTTCAGAAGTAGTTGAGTAAAGCTCTTTAAATCCCATTCTGTTCCTTCCCCAAATACCCTGCATGTTAGTAGCTGGCAAGCTACCTAGAGCACAGGCCATTCTGCAATATAGAGCATGCCACCATTTTGGTTTATGTTTCTCAGATTGTTCTACAACAGAGTCACGTTACAGACCATGAAAATCAATGTTTGTGTTTTTACTTTATTCTAAAAGCTGCCACTGTTAGAGTTAAACACAAGCATTAGGCCAGCAGAAATACATTTAAGACTGACATTTGTTCTTGCATCATCCTGAATGTGACCATGAAGTAAGGAATTGCTAATAGGCAATGTCACACTCTCAGTAAAGTTCAAAACCTACTTAGAACAGTAGTAAAATGCACACTTGGGAAAGAACACACTGCATTTCTTATCAGTGCTCATCTACAGTGTAGATACAGTACAAATACTAGCTTTTAGCCTTTTTTGTTCTTTCCATTATTGAAGAACATTGCTACATGTATTAAAAGAAAAAAAGCATGACCAGAGCTTACTCATGTTCAGCAGTAGTTAGCTTTCCAAACATTTTACCATAAGAGCCTTTATAGTGCACTACTGTGGGTGAATTAGTTTCATGTATACATTTCACATCTTAAATATTTTGGCTGCTTCAGTACTTTAATGCTGAAGTGGACTCAACTTGGACCAGGCACAGAGTAGTTTTCAACCTGGAGGTTCCACAGACTATGCCTAAGATTTCCAAAAGGATTTGCACCTGCATTTGAAATATTTCTGGATCCATACAATTTAAGAACAAAAATGGTTTTGTCTAGGGTAATTCCAAAAGCTGTGTGTTTTAGCTTCATTGATATAGGTTTAAAAATCTTGTGCCTACATTTAAACTGCAAACTAGTCTGAAAAAGTGAGCTTGAGGAATAACGTCTAACTCCTTCATAAAGTGTTTGGTTTAAAGTGCATCATAAGTTAGAATAAATTCCAGTAAATTTAGTTTTACAAGATTAACATACCTTGGAGTTACCTAGTGAAAAGACACCAGAATACAAGACATTTCAGATTCTAGCCTGAAGTAGTCAGTATGGGTATGTCTACACTACAACGTTAATTCGAACTAACTTAGTTTGAACTAGTTAATTCGAACTAAGCTAATTCGAACTAACAGATCCAGACTAAAAAACTAGTTCGAATTAGCGTTTTGCTAATTCGAACTAGCATGTCCACATTAAGTGGACCCTGAACCGGGCTTAAGGATGGCCGGAAGCAGTGCCGGCAGGGCATCAGATGAGGACTTAGAGCATGGAGATGCTTTCTCAGGCTAGCCGAGGGCTGTGCTTAAAGGGTCCCGACCCCCACCCCGGACAGACAGGTCTCAGGGGTGCCCCGCTTGCAAAGCAGTCCTGGCTTGGATTACCCAGACTACCCACACTGGGCATATCACACCACTCGGCCATGAGCCCGGCTGCACTTGCTGCAGGCTGCCATCTGGGGAGAGGGGGCAATTGGGGGGCTGCAGGAGAGCTTCCACCCCCAGAAGCCCGCAGAGCCAGCACAGTCCTCCCCATCAGGGACTCGTACCCCATTCCTCCCTCACCTCCTTCCCCTCCCTCACCCCTAGCCCCTCTTCTTGATGTACAAAATAAAGGACAATTGTGTTCAAAAATGGAATCTGTCTTTATTGAACAAAACTGGGGGAGACTGGGAAAAGGAGGTGGGAGAGGGGAACAGAGAGGGTGGTAGAGGGGAGGGCAACTAAAATGATCAGGGGTTGGGAACAGGTCCCATATGAAGAGAGGCTAAAGAGACTGGGACTTTTCAGCTTAGAAAAGAGGAGACGGAGGGGGGACAGGATAGAGGTCTCTAAAAGCAGGAGTTGGGTGGAGAGGGTGCATACAGAAAAGTTCTTCATTAGTTCCCATAAAGAAGGACTAGAGGACACCAAAGGAAAGGAATGGGTAGCAGGCTTCAAACTAATAAAAGAAAGTTCGTCTTATACAGCGTGTAGTCAACCTGTGGAACTCCTTGCCAGAGGAGACTGTGAAGGCTAGGACTATAATAGAGTTTAAAGAGAAGCTAGATAATTTCATGGAGGTTAGGTCCATAAAAGGCTATTAGCCAGGGGATAGAAATGGTGTCCCTGGCCT